CCGACGCAGAACCACAGTTTCTCTAGAAACTTACCTTCTTTATTCATTGTTGTCAATCAGTTGACCTAAACATGTTCTTATTCAGATTGACAACTGTGAAGTGGAGCCATTGGAGGGACTAAGTTTTATTCAAAGCCAGATAGAAAAACTCGCAGTTCATCAATCAATCCACTTGCTGAAAGTAAGTAGGATGTAATTCAAAGCAGATGGTAACCAAATGCGATTTTGACACCAAGGGAGTCAATAGGTTTCCGTCGTAAGTCGATCAAATGGATGCGAGTCAGTTCGATCGAAGGTTGTTTCGATCGAAGGTTGTTTCGATCGAAGGTCGTTTCGATCGAAACCAAAGGTCAGTTCGATCGAAGACAAGAGTCAGTTCGATCGAAGATTAAATGATAGTAGTATATGTAGTAGCGATTCAAGGAAAAGAAGCGATGTCTTGCGAGCTTCTTGCGAGCTAATAGAGAATAAAATTTGAAGAACCATGATGCGAGCCATGAGAAAATATTTCCATCATTTTTCCAAATGCGCGTGGAACATAAGGAATGGTCGCGTCTGTTTTCTGTTAAAGCAAAAAATCATCAAAAATAGTTGAAAACAAAACGCGAAATTATCGGCAGGCCTACAAGGAGACTGGAGTCTACCCTACCCCCAAGGCCTTTAGCAATATACCAAATATGGAAACAGGCGGCTGGCGGCCATGTTCCTTGACGACCAGGTTCAAGAATGTATTCTGCACAACTCCGAAGTTAACAGGAAATATTTTTAAACAGATTTGATAAATAGTAAGTTCAATACACCTAAGCAATAGTTACAGCCTTCGATCGAACTGACTCTTGTCTTCGATCGAATCGACTTTATCGCTCGAAACGACCTTCGATCGAAACAACCTTCGATCGAACTGACTTTCATTTGATCAAACGCCGCGGCATTTCTTGAAGTTGTGGGGCCGAGATCTAACCCAAACCGCGGTTATACCCGAGCAATTAAGGTGGCTCGTACTAGTTTCCTCGCGCGGGGAACAGATAACTCTTGCGTCACGCGCGGGAGAAACGTGCGAAAGAAGCGCGAGATTAAAAGACGAAAATTTAAAACAAAGATGGCTTCGCGAGGAATTTTTTCTACTTATGTGAGAAGTTTACCTAAGAGCTTGTATTTGATATGTTGAGCGGCCACTGTAAATGCAGGAGATAGAAACTAAGATAACGAAGACGAATTTCGGAGAAGTAAAGGTTGCTTCACTTCACATTTAACAGAAATATTCAACCGATATGAAATCTTACGACGGCAAAAAAAGAAGAACTCAAGTGAAGGATAATCTACCTAAAGAGGAAGNTGGCGCAAGCTGTTGCGGTGTCCCTGCCTGTCGGCGAATTTAATAAATTACAAAATTATAAAATTACTTACACGAGGTTTTCAGAGTGAAATTTAGTAGTACGATAATAATATAAAGTAACAGTTAAGTATTCTCCAAGTTAGCCTGCGAGCAGGATCTCATTATTAGCTCTGCAGGATGAGCATTTCTAAGCTCGCGGGAAGATTTGAGAGGAGTCAGAGAGAGCTTTGCTGGGGGTCTGGGACTAATACGGTGCTAGAACCCTTGGCCCAGCTCTCCTCGTCTCAAGGACTTAAACTTTCCCGCGGGCGGAGCTACATTTGTGCCGAAGCCAACAACAAGAGAATATCTCAGGCCATCGCATTTTACATGGTAGACGGAGAATTCTTCGATCTGTGAGGCGTACTGAAAACCCTTCTTACTCTGTATTGGTGCTTTGCTCTTTCATTTCAGGCCTTGTCGAATCTGGTCGAGCTGGATTTTTCCTACAATAAAATCTCAAGTCTTGGAAACAACTTGAATACGAGGCTTGGGAATATCAAGAAGTTAAACCTGGCAGGGAACGAACTTAATAATGTGGAAGGTAATGGTACTCATGATTTGCCGTAACCCCTTCCACCCCAAAATCAGCATACGTATTCTCCATACTGTTCTCTATACATTTCCTAAGGTGCTGACTAGGAGAATTTGTTTAACAATCAAGAGCTTCTTTAGTTGGTGATCATTTCCTTTATTCTCCTGACCTTAATGTGTGATTCAGGGGTGATATGTAAGGAGAAATTATCTGTTAATTACTCATTGGGTTCAAAGGGTTAAATACATCGCTGACGTTTAGTTGGTAATTTTGTGTCGGGGGGAATTTCTCTCAAGTGAGCTTGTTCCATGCTTTTGTCTGAAAGCCGGTTGAAAAAACATTTCCACAAGCTGATCGTGCTTGCAGGTGTTTTGCATTCGCTGCAAAAGGAATGTCCTCGCTCAATTCCAAGAAGGAGAAAAAAATGATAGGTCACTGTGCTTGTTTGCGAGAAAATGACGATTTACTTCTCTGGTGAGCTCTGACCATACAGAAAAAGCCGCCATTTATTGATGCACGCGCGTTAGTAACGTGTAGAATTACGCGCAGTAAGGATGTACTTAAGTCGCAAATAATTGGAACAGGAAGAAAAAAGTTGAAGACAGGAAACGAAAAAAATAAACTTTATTGGCGCGCATGTGTGCAACGCATTGTGGGTTACAAGGATTGCTCGAGACATTACTTTACTGCTAACAGGAAATTCTCTCTCTTGTAGGCCTTGACAAGATGTATTCCCTAACAGTTCTCAATCTTAGCGAGAATTTCTTCACAGACATCGGCGCCATTTTGACGTTAGGGGAATTACCGTGCTTGGAAATCCTGGATTTTAGAGATAACGCCATGACAAGGGAACCGCTGTACCGTGTCAGGGTCTTCGCGGCATTTGATGACCGCGCTGAACAGGTTAAAAAGTCTCTCAATAACTCACGTTAATTCCTATCAATGTGATGTTGATATCCTGCAAAAATGTTTTACCTTCCCAGAAGAGCACTTTTTGTTTGATTGTCACTGATGAAACCAAAATCAAATTTAACGTCATAGCCGATCAGAACAAAGTTGATTATCCCAAGAAACCAGTGAGCGTAAGTGAAGATGCACGTGACCGGCTTTATGCGCGGGAAACGAAGAGAATGAAGTGATTGGTTTAATTTCTGTTTGTATATTTCTTATCGATGGCACGAGTTTCCTGAACCAATCAAGGAGGGCAGTGAGGCAACCATTGCAAACCGGGATCATTATCTAACTGGGCTAACGTGCGTATCGAGTACAAATATCACGCGATATTTGGACAGTTGGTTATTTTGTATCTTAAAAAATCCCTGCGTGCTAAGCTTCACTGTCTGTGCTTCTCTTGTCCTGCCATATAAGAGAAACACATAAAGTAAATCAGTTTGATAATAAATAGTATCGCTGAGTTTTTTAACTCGTGGTTTGTATTTTGACCCACCCTTCGGACTCGTCAAAATACGGTACAGCTCCTCGAATACTCGGCGGTACTGTACACAACAGAACGCCTGAGAAGATATCTTTACTATACACCCTCAGTTGAAAATTTCTTCTTCTCACCTTGAAATGGCTCTACCAGCTTTGTAACTTTGTTTGATACGTAAGGTTTATTCTTGTCCGTGACTAGCTTGAACTTGATGGCCAGCACCCATCATATAGAGAAATGAACAAGATCCGTGAGTTACTCCAAGAAGAGCTGAATTTCGAAATTATTAATTATCCAACTCCACCACATTACTCAGTATCAAAGAGAAGCAATAAAAAGGTAGGTGTACTACAATAACAAGCAGTATCTATTGTTTTAATGTGTGGTTAGTTTTATTCGCTTTATTTGAAACTTTCATCAATGTGCTTGCCCTTTTAAATCTCTTAAGGAAATTACAGTGTCTTTGCAAATCAAAACTTGAACTGAAATAAATTAATTCGTTCTTGTCGCTCATTCGTGGAGATACATTAGTGTTTGGTTTTGTTTTCAGGGCAGAAGTATCGATAGAGTGATAGCTCTTGATTCAGAAACAGAAGAGCAGTCCAGTACACCCGTAACAGGTACAATTAACCACATAACTCCCAAGATCTGATCGTTAATTCTCCTCTCTGGCTGCTACACATTTCATTGTAAATTAGTGAGGAGAATTTGGTGTTAGATCATGATAACAACTTCTACTTGAAAATGAGTATTCTCCTTACCTGTTTGCTCGATATTTTTTTGAATATCTTAAGGAGAAGTTACATGTTAATCACTTCTGGAAGATAAAGGGTGGGGGAGGGGGTCTGGGGGTGAATTACCGTCAGTTGCATTAAACCAAACTCACGAACTCCTTGCTTATGTCAAATTGCCTTCAGAATCCAATTCGTCTGTGGACGAATCAGATGCCGAGTTCCGTTCCCGAGTGGAGAAAATTCGACAGATCGGTGGAGACGCATGGCTTACGTTATATGACGAGGTACACTCAGAAGAAGAAATGACACAGGTTTGTGCGCGCTACAGAGCGCATGCGTTCAATTTGAAATTAATCATAATCACGAAAAGTCTCTTAAGAAACCGATGATACGCAGAAAAGCGAGGAAGCGCTCGCGATTAAATCAGTCACAAGTGGTTTTTAGTTTACATATTCGTTCGACTTTCAGATTGAAAAATACTCTGACAGAAGTAATATGATTGATATAATGGTGAATATACGTCAGAACCTTTAGATTTTGTTCTTTGTTCAGGTCCAACCAAACGGCGAAGTGTCGTCGACAGGTGATAGAAGCCATACTGAGCCCGTAAATGATCAGCAGTCTCCTAAGCATGACACGATTGGTGGGAACTTTGAAAGTCCTGACAGCCCAACAGAAGAACAGGTTACTGGTGTGGTTTATCGAATTGAATTTATTTGTTTGAGTTTTGAGAAAGGCGCAAGTTTTCTGCACAAATCGAAGAGAATTAAAGCAAAACCAAAGAAATTGTAGATTACTGTCGACACTCGTACAAAAACTCTGAATAATTGGTTTTTGTATAACCTCCCAGAAAACAAGAAATAGTTTATTTCTGTCAAAAAACGATCGGAAATGAAATTATGGAAGTGCTATGTTATGTCTTCGGCTTCTCGGAGGTGAATAATACTGACGAATCACTTCCAAACCAACCAATCAAGCAGTTAAAACACTGTAAAAACACTTCAATCATGAAAAATTCCTGCATTTTTCTTGCACCCTCTTTCGCCATTTTGCGAAGGGCACGAATAAGGACTGAAATTTCTTAACTTGTTGGCCATTGATTGTAGCTTCTATAGAGCACTATAATATGCAGTTTTGATTGTTTTTGACGTATTTATTTGACTCTTTCATTTTATCGCTGCTGATCAGGGAACTGCAGGCGCACGGAGAGGGAATGAGACTCATCCTAGTCGTCTTCAGTTTGGTTTTGCGCCTGAGCTGGAAAAACTCGTACACGACAGAGTGGAATCAAGTGCAGACTTGTACGTAACCATAGTCACTTCTAGAATGTAATGTTGTGTAAAGCGCTTTCCATTTGAATCTCGTTATGATAAAACCAAAGAAATAATACCGACCTATTGGAAAGAATCTTAATATCACCAGGAGCCAGGTTGGAATGTAAAGGAAATTAATGGGCCGGTTATTAAAACGAAGTCTAACCCAAACTGCGGCCAGTTTTACGTAAGGTACGGGCCTCAGGTATTCTCTATAAGAGGGTTGATTTAATTAAATGAATGTGTTTCCACTGTTAACTTGGCCCTCTTGACCAGACCGGGTTCGGCTAGAATGAAGATAGTTAGGAACGCGGTTTCGCTAAACAACGGCTATGCCTTGTTTAAATAACCGGCCCAGTGTTTTTAGCTTGAATGCGGTAGAATAGTCGTAATGTTGTCAACAAGCTTGTATTGGAAAAGTAGGATCACTCGCAAACAGCGAAGTATTCCAATTAAAAAACTTGTCTGTTTAAATGAAGGACCTCAGGCACATATATGGTGGAAGTCGAAGGAGAAGTGCATAATGAAGGGAGTACAGAGGAAAGAATGGTTGGAGTGGACCTTTCCAAAGGGGTCATTTTCGAGATACAGATAACGACCGGGAAGACATTTGCAAAACATAATCTGGGTAAGAATTCCGTTTTATAGCAGTGTTGGGCAATGTTGGGGCAATGTTGGGGCAATGTTGAGGCAATGTTGAGACAATCTTCTCTCTTTTAAATGGAAAGTAATATCCCAATAAGTTCTCACCCCTCCCCTACTAGAATGTGGCTGTTTGGGTGAGTGATATTATCGTAGTGTACCTAAATTGTATTTGAAGGGGGAGGGGTAAGGAGTGGAAATCGAGATAGTCAATTGGTATCACTTAAAGGCTTGTGCCCAAACATTGTAATCCTTAATTTTAAACCCTTCCGGCGAGAGAGCTTGACTGCACTCTACGGGTCGGCCAAATGGTGACAATTAAACCTTTCTTCTTTCCATTTTGTAGAGGACATAAGCAGTGTCGACATTTTGGAACTGCATGACACCTTCTGTGTCGATATCCGGGACATCTATTCCAAGGAATGGCGACGTCATTATGCTGATGATAGCGACAATTGCGTTCATAACAGAGACTATCGTCAAGTAGCCAGGTATCGCATGCGTTCAATGGAAGATGCTGCTGAGCTGTTTGTTCTGCTTTACAAGTTTATCACTGAAAGGTAGTGACTTATGTCTCTTTTGCCTTTTGGTTCTCCATCTTCCTTTGTGTAGTGTAGCTTCCAGTTTCCGTTCCTGTTTCAGTTTCTGTAGCATAAAGTGAGTAAGGGTATTAGTACTCCTTCCTGGATGAAATGGTGGTTGTGCAGATATCCATTTTTATTAAAAACTGGATCATTGGATAATGCAATTCAAGACTTTTTATTGGCTTAGCCATTATGGTATATCAGCCAATATACCATAATCTACAAATATGGTAAGCGTACGTGTCAGCTTAAAATTAAAAGAGAGGTAAAAATTTAATAAAATTTAATAATTTAATTTAACGTTTTTAATAAAACAATTATTCCTCTCGCGCTTGTTGGATATGAGATGATTATAGCCAACTCGGCGCTACGCGCCTTGTTGGCTATCTATCATCTCGTATCCAACGCGCGCTCGTGGAATAATTGTTAAATATTCCTGAGGTGGCGAGGTGCATGGTTAAAGTTAGGTTTTTGTTCTAGATCACAACACGATGACACAGCAGTTTACCAAAAAACCATTCAACTATCCTGCCTCCTTTTCACTCATCTTATCATACTTCTCTATGTTCTTAGGTCCTCCAAGGATGCCATTCCCAGCATTGACATCCAAGAACCGCTTGCAGAAATCTTCTCAGCGAACATTGTAGAATGGCCCAATCCATTAGGTGTACAACAAGACCTTCTGCACAAATATTTAGACGATTTCCTTCAGGAACCTGACAAGAAACAAGGATTACATTGCACAGAAGTAAATTCCCTAGACACCCGACGTATGCAGAGGGTCCAAAACATTTACCAGACCCTCCACGCTGAGTTCATAGACGTGGGGTGCTTAAGACATGATCGCTCTGGGCCCTCTCCCGAGAGGGTCCGCCTGATTTTGTGGTCTGGCTGTCTTCCGTATGTGTACCCAGATCACGAGCTTCCCATTTGCCTTCTAATGACAAATCTCAACATTTATTTGTTTCATTCGTCGCATTTAGACTCGCCTGAGCGTATTCACACGTTGGCAACCTACAGTGACTTACAAGACGTCTTGCATTGTTTTTACAGCTTCCCAGTGCAAGAGCTGAATGAAGTGGTCTTCGGTTTATACGATCAAGGCTTCAGACTGGAAGTGAAACTCGATGGGCCTCGAGGGACCTTTACGATAATCACTCGCGATGCCGAGAAAACGGATAGATTTTTAGGAACTTTGAGAGATGTGCTCGGGGAACCCTTGAATGAGGAGCCTTCTAATGTTCGTGCTTTTAGAAGACAATTTTCATCCGGGAGTCTTCCAAAACTCAGTTTTCCAACCGAAGACAAAATTGACAAATTAAAACAAGAACTTGCAAAATTCGGGAAGGCTTCTTCCACCGCGGAAAACCAGCATCTGCTTATGTACTCTATCGTCCGAGAAATTCCCGACTTTGCCTTGCTAAATGTGCAGGAAAGCGCAGATCTCACAAAGATGCTCCGAAGCTTGATCGTGACGAACTCGGAGATCTATCTCTGCGACGAGGATCATGTACATTGGCCGCTGCCCTCATTTGTGCGGGCGCCGCCGTCTACCCCTCAGTGGGTGGTTACTAAGTCACAACAGATCAGTAAGATCATCGGGCTTGAAGTGTTTGAACTTAAGGGCAATGTTTGCGACTTTTTCGGCGAGTTTGGGCTCTCGCTGATCTTTGATTGTGATGAATCGGGGACACCATCTCCAGGCGAACAACACTCGTGGCATTTAATTTTCCGAGCCGCTGATGAACGCACCCAGCTTCAGCGGTCGCTGTCACAGGTATGGAAGGACAACTTTCAAGCCGATCTTAAAATCACACATTCAAAGCCCAAGTCGTTCCCAGTCCTTCAAGAGAAAAGGGAAGAAAAAGGGCTCCTAGAGTCTACATCTTCGAATGGTGCACAAACACACCTAGGTACCCCAGTAGAGCCGAAATTTAAAAAGACCCATCGGAGGGTGGGATCGGATTTTCTACCAATTTTCAAACCAAACATGTTGAATAGCCTGGAGAGCTTAGTCGCCCTGGATAGAAAAGTCCTGGACGGATTTTTTCACAAATGGATTTCGCAGAAACAGAGCGACGAGGGTGAAACACTTCTCCATGTGTTATGGACGGGCTGTACACCGTATCTGTATCCGTCGCTGGAATTCAAAGTTTGTATCTTGTTGAGCAATTTGTACGTGTATATTTTGGCGGATAAAGAACACAAAGTCTCCATCAACAAACAGAAAGGAATAAAGTTGAAGATTTCAGAAGATACCGACTTCACTGATGTTAAACCTACGATCTGTTTTAATTTCATTCCGATAACCCAACTTAGGCAGGTTTGCGTGGGTTTGTTTGATCAAACGTTACGAATCGAAACAGAGTTGAAAAAGAACACGTTTACTCTGATCACGCGAGATTTCAAATTGACCAGTACTTTTCTGGAGAGATTAGGCGCGATTTTGTCGTCGAGGCATCGTGGTGATTCATCGCCTCTGTCGAGATCCGACACGATGCTCACGAGTATCTACGACTCGCAGTCAACTGCCGATCATGATCCGAACGCTTTTCCGAAAGCAGATTATCAGCACACGAATGGTGGTGTGCGCTTCGTGTATCCGAACGATGACACGTTGGAGATTGTGAAGGATGCCATTGCCGAGTTCAGCCGCCAGTCAGTTCATTGCCTCGAGCTCAAACATGTGGTCATTTTGGTGTATCTCTTGGTCTTCCACGAAACAGAAACGGCTCGCGAAGAACCTCGCACTCTTGTAATCATGGACAAGTCTCTATGCCTTTGCATCGAAGATCATGTCAACTACCCGCTGCCGTTATTTGCTACAGGACTTCCCGAGAATCCGCAATACGATGTGCAAGACCTGCGTGACATCCAGTCACTGTCACGTGTTGAATTTAGTGACTTCAACTCCTGCGACTTTACAATGGTCTTCTCGCCGACTCGACCTCAAGACGAGGATGCACCAGATGGCTTTGATTCAGCGAGTATGGGCGAGTTGTGTGTCATCACACATCACTTGCCAGATCCCGATGAACGCGATATTTGCTGGAAAATTGTTGCTCAGACTTACGAGGAAAAAGAGAAGGCTTTGAGTCTGATCTGCAAGCTCTGGGCCGACATTCATGGCGGCGCTCTACCTGTTATGAAAGCTACGAGGTAGGAATTAAGATGCAACGAAATTAAACGAAGCTTAGCGGTTTACAACAGCAGTGGAGAAGGTAGTAGCTTTGAAAGGCTGAGAAAGTAAAATGAATTGGGACAGTTCAACAATATCCGCTCAAGACATTCAATCGATGCAAACCAGAATGGAAAATTTGGGAATCAGAAGGACAATCCTTCAGCTGCCGGGGTTAAGAAATTTCCGTCATATTTCAGATATTCTAAAATTGCCCTCTTTGAAGGAGCAAGAAACTTGCCTTGATACGAAGGGGGTATCGAAAACTTTGTTTCATACGGAGAAGGTGCAACAAACAATGACAGACACTGTTTACCATACTAGCAATGTACATATAGTTTTTTCAATTCGTTGATAAAGCCGTGAAACATGACTCTATTTTAAACAGAATTTTTCGAAGTTTTTGCAACTAAGGCACAAGAAGATCAGTTCCCCTACTCGAATTTTTTCTAGAATATGGGTTCCCTTTGAATTACTTGGTAGATCTGCTTTTGCGAAATATGAGAGGTCGTATAGAATTCCTTTATATTTCTGTATATGTTCAAGAGAATACATTTGTATTATGATGTACTTATCCATATTTTATATGTTTACTATCAATTCAAATTATACACGTTGAAATAGGGAACTTTTTATATGCTCAAAATGAAAAATAGGTGTCAACCTAATTTTTATTTGTTTCAGATAATTTGTTAATACTTATCGTGTTCACCCGGCAGTGCACGGGCCGGCAATGTTGGATGATTTACTGTCATGGAAGCAAATTTCACAACAGCCTATCAAAACGAATGTTAATGATGTCTCTTAGTATTGCTCACAGTGAATTTCTGCATCCATCTGTGCAAACGTGCCCCCCCCCCCACGTTTGCACA